ATTCTGTTTATATCATCTTTTTATGTTTCTTCAATAAAAAATAATTTTGGAACCATGAGCTTACTGGAAGCTGGTAAAGCTATGGCTCAGGGAAGCAAGAGTGGTACCCAGAATATTTTAGCTGTTTTCTCTTCTTTCCTTAGTGACTCAGCCTGTGCACCCAGATTATTAATTTTACATGGTTTTACAAAGAGACTTAATGAGATAAATTATGTAGGCACAGTAGGAAAGTTTTAGTTTTTCATGTTGTTTCTGCCTGCAGCACTGTTCAAACTCAAACGTTAGGAGGTGTTTAGAGACAATTTGGGTCTAGCATCAGGCCAGAAAAACTACCATTTTTAATTATTGTCATTTTGGAAAAGACTTCATAGGGTTTAGAGTATGCCAACACTAAACGTCGGTGCTCATGTTTGTAAGTGGTAAGGGAGATTCCACAAAGTTAGGGTAAGGCAAGGAGAAGGGAAGGGAAATGCCAGGGCGGAGATTCCTTGAGATAAAGCCACCATGGTCACCACCATCATCATGAACATACACTTTCCGTGCATCCTCTGATGCTGTGCTCAACCCACCAATAAGGTGAAGGTTGTCCCCTGTTCCCAGGTGAGGAAATGGAGACTTGGAGGAGTCAAATAGCTTCTCCAAAACTGCACAGCCATTAAGGTGCTTAGGCAGGATTTGAATCCAGCTTTCACCATAGCTAGTCATCATAACGACCACCCTCAGTCATCGGTAACATGTTAAATTGTGCATGCTAGTCCACGTGGAAGCAAATAGAGTTGTCTGTAAGCCTGTCTGAAACACTCAGTGCATATATGCAAACAAGGACATTTAAAAGTCTTCCACTGGGCTCCCAGGATGGCACGTCCAACCTTGCCCTTTGCTGGAGGAAATTGGCCCTGAAGCTAAATCTGGGAAGGTACTGGGGAGTGTCTCAGCAGGAGAGAAAGCAGCAGTGATGGGCTGTTTTCCTAGATCTTACTGCTACTTGGTTGGTACCTTTCATCTCAGTGGGCATTTGTGATACCCATTTGACCCCAGCAGTACCCAATCCCAGACTTCCTCTGCTACCTGAGACTTAAAGCGAATACAGAGGCAATTAGGGACACATGCTTTGATCATTTTGAGTGACAGAAAACTATATAAAGAGGAACTGGTTAGGGTCTCTGGGGTGAGGATCTGTAGATCTGTCACTTCACAATCAAGATTCCACTTCTTGGCTGTTTGCTGAGACCTGGGTTGGGACCTTGGGCCCCGGACAATGGATGATTGTCCAGCATTATATTTGAAAGGGCACCCACCTGGGCTCACACAATCTGCAGGGCTCATTTCTTCCTGCAGCAGATGAGCGTTCCTACAGCAGCAAGAATCCTTCCGGCTGGACATAATAAGTCATCTCTTAGTGAAGGGACTAGAGTCTGAAGCCATCATGTTTGCTTTCTGCAAACACTTAAGATTTAAGAGTGAACCCAGATCATTCCTTGGGGTGTTCACAGGTGATAGTGGTAAGATTTGATCTGGATGGCAGCAGTTCATAGAGAGAGCTGATGCTTTTAAAGAGATTCCTCCAGCAGCCACAAACATCTGTAGGAGATATTACGTTTCACATGCAATACCTCTGAAAGATATTTCCATCCAAAGCAAAGCTGGAAGGCAAGAAATGGAGGACATTGAGCGTATCTAGATTCATCTGCTATATGTCACAGCCTCTCCTCTGACTGGCTGTGACTTGAGCAGCCTCGATATGTATAGAATGGTACTGAATGCATAAATTATGTATAATGTGTGTGTCACTGCCTTAGGATAAGGAATGTGGAGCACAAGTCTTGGACACTTTAAATAATTTACATTTTAAATCTGCAACTGGTTGGAGAGTAGTCTGAACCTGCATGTAACATTTATGAACACAAGTGTAACTTTTAGTTCTACTTTTTTTCAAAGCCAACTTGCATTTATCTGAGTGTTAAGTGTTTGTGTAAATTCAGTTAACATAATTTCAAGTTTGTTAGAATACCTGGTACTTAAAGTAAGTCACTGTGGGCCCTTGCTAGGATTCAATGAGAGAAGCAGAGAAATGGCTCTGGGGAAGGGGCGCATCTTTCAGTAATTAGCCGCATGGGCCGGTGAGACAATGGGATCTGTGGTCACAGTCAGTGTGCTGGCATTGAGAGCTGCGTGTCTGCAGTTACACCAGGGCCCCCGTGTCTACAGTACCAGGGCGGACAGAGAGACCAGTGTCCAGCGCCAGGAAGGACCGCACGCTGGCCTCCCGCACATAGTCTGTGTCTCATAAACAAGCCATGCTGAAGGCTGCGGGAAACAGGAGGCCTCTCCAGGAGTTCGTGGAGGGAGGTCACACTGCTTTGTTTTGCACACTGCTATTGGGATAAGAGCTGTTCCATGAAACTAGGACAAACAGAGTGAAGATTGAGAAATGCAAGGATTTTATTCCAAAAAGTTAAGGAAGCAATTCTGTGGCTGCTGATGGCTAATAATAATGTTATTATTATAGTCACCTAGTCACCTCACATATTTCATTTTATTTAATCTTTATTTAAAGAAGTAAAAACCTTGAGGTAGGTACCCTAATTCCACCCGTTTTCCAGATGAGAAGCGCAGAGTGGTTAGGCAACTTTTTTAATGTCATGAAGAACAGGGATTTGAACACAAGGAGTTAAAGGAACCCGTGGAGTCTTCTCGAAACTTCATGCTCCTGCCTTCTCAAATTCTCTGATTGCGAATGAGTTTTTTAAAATAAAAGATTAAAGTAGATCAAGCAATTGGCCAATCAACATGTTGGTCACTCAAATGAATGGGGACTCATTGTCTATTATGTCCCGTGTTGACAGTAGAAACATTGGACCTTAGGATTTGAAAGGCTTTGGAGCTCCTGAAACCCTCATCCATCCAACACTCCAGCTCCTTCAAATGGAATGCATCTAACTCCTTAATTATTTATGCAATAAATACATATTGAGTAGCTCACTCTGGGTTAGTCCCTGGATGAAGAGCTAAGCAAAGTCAATAACTACATAGATTCTTCCCTTCATGAAACTTAGAATATAGTAGATTATTGATAGTTCTCATTGAGCAAAAATCTTCCCTATTAGTTTTATCCATAATTTCTAGCTCTGTACCCTAGTTGCATTTGGTATGTACATACAAAGGAATATCATTTGGTGTTTAAAATGGAGGCAATCCTGCCATATGTGACATGGATGAATCTGGAGGAGGTTATGCTAAGTGAAGAAAGCTAAAGACAAAAGGATAATACTACATGATACCATTTATATGATGAATCTAAAATAGTCTAACTCACGGAGGTAGAGAGTGGAAAGGTGGTCGCCAGGGGCTGGGGAGAGGGATAAATAAGGAGATATTAGTCAAAGGATAGAAAGTTTCATTTGTTTATGCAAGACAAATAACTCTTAGAGATCTGCTATATAGCATAATGCCTATAGTTAACAATATATAGCACATACTTTAAAATTTGCTAAGAGGCTGCATCTTATATTAAGTGTTAACACAAAAAAATAATAATAAAGAGAGCAGAAGGAAACTTTTCAAGGTGATGGGTAGATGGTGATGATGGTTTCATAGCTGTACACTCATCTCTAAACTCATCAAGTTGTAAGACATTAAATTTGTGCAGCTTTTTGTATGTCAACCAGACCTCAATAAAGTGTTTTTAATTTTTTTTAAGTTGCATGTCGGCATGCAACTTAAAACATGACTGTACTTCAAATATGTAGGAACAGTCACATCCCGCTGAGTCTCTGTCAAGCATAATCCACCTTCTCTCAGTTCCCTAGTGGTCTCCAAGCCTGACACCTTCTACCCAGTGAATATGCAGCAATTCATCTTGCATGTGTACTCAGAAGTGAATGTAGAATTACGCAGTCCAGTCTATTTTACTGTACTTTGCTTCGGTTAACCATAGATCATAGCAAGGATCATTTGCTTGTAAGGAGTAGAAATCCAGTCTACCAACTCAGAGAGTAAAGGTAGCAAGTAGCCTCCCGGCCTCCAGGGAAAGGTAAGCCACGAGGCTTCAGGTGTGAGTATATTTGGCCTGGCCTCAGAGACCGAGCCATAGGCAGCTCAGGGCCTTCCTTTTGTATGCTTTGCCATTAATGTGACTTGGCTGCTTTCTCTGTGTTGACATCTTTTTGCCTTGCTGCCTACTTAGTCTCTCGAAGTTTCAATTCCAAATTCCAAGAGGCAATGATGATTGACTCAACCTGAATTGTATGGGCTGGCCCCTCTTAGGGTAAGAAAGCTGTGGCTCTGCCCTAAGGACACATGTTCCCTAAGGTAGCCTGCTCTGGGGCTGAGGGTTGAACAGATCAACCCACAAGGGCAAGGGTGTATCTAGCAAATTGGAACAACTAGGAAGTATAAATAATCTATAAACTCATGCTATAGCTTTTTAGAGTCTATTTCTTTTATTTAAGTCTCCTCTCAAACTTTCTGTACCTCCCAAACTAGTAGATCATTTTTGATTGACTATTGTTCTTTCCTTCCTTTGAAAAGTATCCATTCAAGTTCTTCTCTCACTCCTTCAAAAGACATTTAAAGGCAAGCAGGGGGTGCAATCAAAGTATATTTTCCTCCCCCTCTGCGGGGGCGTAATATGTAAGTCAATAGCAACACAGTATAAGAAGAAAAACTATTATGGACTAGCATTTATTGTTTACTAGCCTATTAGCACTTAAGCACTTTACATATTCAAATAGTCATTTTCTACAGTAATCTTAAGCAGAGTTTTCTCCATTTTCTCCCTTGTAGAATGGTGATAATACCTATATCCAGGGTGATGGTGAATTTTGAGAGATAATGTAGCTAAATTTTTTATTAATGCAGAGTATGTGCTGGAAAAATGATGCCCCATTATCACTGTGATGGTGTCATCAACTACAACAATGTTTCACAGCTCAGTGACGATGCTGTTCTATAGTTCCTTAAAAGAGACGGCTGCTCTGATTCTGACTAAACTGAAGGCAGAGCACCAAGCTCATGTGGGGACTCAGATATCCAAAAGGCAGGAGATGAATAAAAAAAAAAAAAAGTGGTTAGAATCACAAGTTGGAATCCAGGGGCGCTACAGTGCTGCCGAGCTGAGAGCCCAGAGAGCAGAATTCCAGGAAATCGGTGTTCAGGACCCTGGAGAGCTCTCAGTCACATTCAAGTGTCTTCCACAGTCTAGAGCACTGAGTATTGCAAAACTCGGCATTCGGGACCCCAGCCCTGGAGGGGGTCTAATCTTTTGTTTTATGTAGAGGTTCTAATGATAGTGGAGCTCTGGGTGCCAAAGGGATAGTGCAGAACTAGAATCTTCTGAGCTGTATAGGGCAGTGGAATTCTTGTCTGGATTAGAAGCGGCATCAGGATCCTTGTCAGGGAATAAGAACTTCTCATCTTTCATCTTCCTGTCCCAGAGGAGTTCAGCTCTAATAACCCAGAATAGAAAAATAATATCAAATATATATATGTGTGTGTGTGTGTATGTGTGTGTGTGTGTGTGTGTGTGTAGAGAGAGAGAGAGAGGGAAAGAGAGAGAGCGAGAGCGAGCGAGCAAACAACACCATCTCCTTTTCTTATGTAACCCAGAGTGTAGACAAGAGACAAGTATCTCAGCCAGGCTCAGGAAAAACACTGGGTTACATTTGGATTCTGTATATTATGAAATGTTTAATTCCTATTTGCCTACATGTACCTGACCACGCATAAACTTGCAGAAGAAACCCATGAAAATAAACAGTCCTGCGGATCTAAGAGTTAGGATAAAACATATCTTCAATGAAGGAACTGTCTTTTCTCTTAATGAACCTTGATGCAATATAGGCCAAATGAAGAGTTTCTGTGGTTTGTGTGCTAATGCCCACATGGAGTGTTTCTGCCTATTTGGATAGGAGACATTTAAAACAAAAGTAATGGTGAAGAGAGGAGAATGTAGAGAAATAAATCCTGTTTGTACTACGATAGCACTAATACCAAACATCGCTAATGTGTGTCAGAAACATAGCTAGAAGTACTATACTACTGTTAAAACAAACACCCCGTGAGTATTGTGTATTTGGTTAGACTATGGGGCAGGCAAAAGGGAAGAGCACTTGAATCTTGTTCTGGGCTTCTGGCTGATAGGCTGAGGGACCTTGGATAAGTCCCCTTTTCTCTTTATCTGTAATAGGAGAAGGCTTGGATTAGCTTTCATGATCAGATGTATGGAGTAAGTATGTGAATGAGTGAATTAATGAACAAACTGCTTCTTATTGCCATATTCCAGAAATAGCTGATGGATTTGTGGGGAGGGGCATATACCAGCTGCTTCCTCTTCTTAGGAGCCCCTGTCCATCCTTTTCATGTGTGGAGGCATTACTAAGTAATGACTGTGTGCAGTATTACTCATTTTGAGTTAATGATTATTCTTTTTGAGGAGTTAAGTAGTCATGGAACCATGGACTCCTACAATGATCCTGCATTTATTCTCCTCAAACTCAGCATGATAAAAATATTTTTGAAGCTATACTTTTGCATCCTAGAAAAAGCCTGAATTTAAAGCAGTATGGACTATGAGCAAATGAATTAATTAGATTCTAAACATTCACATTTACCATCAAGTAAATTCACTCATTGGTTAAGGTGAGGTTTTTGAGATGGTGACAGTTATCCAATCTCTACTGGTAGTCTTTTTCTACATTTTTTTTTCATTTTTTTTTTTTTGCATTTTGGGGGGATTTTGTTTGGATTTTTGTTTGTTTTTTATTGCTTTTTGATGATTTTTTTCTACCAATAATCAATGTACTTGAATTACACAGATTGACGGCAATTGTACATGTCATTTTATGAATCCTCCTGACTAATGTGTGAGTTTCTCTAGACCACTCTTAGGAAGGCGCGCGCGCGCACGCGCGGACACACACACACACACACACACACACACACACACACACTGGATAGCAAGACTTCTTGAAAAACAGGCCAACAACCAAAAGCCTCCTGTCCCATTTTCTGCCTTTCCTCTGCCTCCTGCCAGGGTGGACCTCCCCCCTCTCTAGGTAACCCGGCACCACTTCTATCCAGCAGAAGCAGCAGGATGGGACATTTCATTTATTCAGTGAAGTTACCATGAGTGTAGACCCTGGAATCAGAGAGATCCAAGTCTGAATCTAAGTCTCTTCACATCCTGCCTATATGACTTTGGATAAGCAACCTTAACTGTAGGTTTCCTCATCTGTAAAATGGAAATGCAGAGCCTTCCCACAGAACAGGTACGAGGGTAAGTGAGGTCACATATGTGACATGATCACACGTGCGTGGTACTTTGTGAGTGTTCAGTATATGAGAGGTGCTACTACTACGGTGGTTATTACAGTTGTTATTCACCAAGTGCCTTCTGCAGTGCAAAAATCTCCAGGGTTACCAAATGGGACCTAGTCTGTGTTTTCAGGGAGTTCAAAATCCAGCAGCGGCAGGAGGAGAGGTAATGGTGGGTAAACAAGTCATGATGAAACAGTAGGGTAAGTGATGTGACAATAAGGCATTGGCATAAACCCAGACTAAGGGCAGTAAGGAAATGAGGGAGGACTGCTTGGAAAAGGTAACACATGGCATGAACCTTAAGTCAAGTGGCAAAAAGGTGAGGACCTTGTCTGATACACTGGGAACTCTGTTCCATGCGGAGGCCAGGGTACAGAGTGGAGGGTAGGGACAGGCAGCCCGCCCCTGCCCCAGCTCCACAGCCCTCATGTCAACCCCAGCACAGTTCTCCCAGGCCTGGGATAAATGTTGTCAGCTCTTATTGTTATGATAGTTTGCCCAGGGAGAAGCAGTCTTGTTTATGCAAATGGATGCCACACAGGGCCACCATGATGGGGGCCGGGGGACACTCTTCTTTTGTCTCTTATTTTTCAGTGCCTTTGAGTCTCTTCCTGCAGCACTCCTGTCCCTGCACCTGCCATACGTCTGGGTACTCTTGCATGGCAGCCATTCATGGGTGCTCTTCAGCCCCAGCCTTCTCAGACCCTGTGCTCTAAAGAGGCAGGTCACACCTGGCCCAAACCTTCCTCCTCCGTTCCTGGCTAACACTGCCCTCCTCAAAGCACCCTGACACCAGCCTGCTGCTGGATGCCAGCCACTGGGGACGGCCAAGCCCTCGCCTCTGCACAGGTGCACACTTCTCTCTGCAGCCTGGCAGCTCTGACCTCAGGGCCCGCCTGGGGACTTCCATCCCATTTCCATTGTTCTTCGTTTTCTTTTTTCTTGTAGAGCTTTTCTGGAGGACTGATTACCAAGTCACTTCTCTCCCCAGAAGTGTTTCTTTGTCACAAATGATTCCACTCCTTGAGGACATTTGGTGACATTTAATTCATCTCCTGTTCTCTGCTTGGATGAATTCTTGGAACTCCCTGAGAGGAAGGACTGGGCAGTGGGACATCTGAGAAATGCAGTCTCTATGTGGTGGGTGAAAGTGATGGATTTCCACCCCCTTCCTCACGCTCTTTCCTGCTGCGTGGGGACCTCTGGGCCCTCCCCCTCCTCTCCCCTGCTTTTCACTGATGTATTCTTTTCTGACTTATGACTTTTCTTTTTCATGTGTAACTTGTCTGATTTTTCTTCTTTGATTATCCAGCTCTCATTCCATGGCTTTTGCAGAGTGTCTATTACGTATTGTTCAAGGCCAGGGCTCAGCTGAGCTTTAAACAGAAGCGAGGGCCTCTGTAAGGCTAGACAAGTGTGTTCATCCCTCTCTTGGCTTGGACTGTGGAGGTTGCCGCCAGCTCAGATGCCCTAAATGGTGTGTGTCTGTTGACCCGACAGTCCCTCAGTGCCCAACCCATTTCCGGAGGACATCCAGGCACGTGGTAGTGGCAGCCCAGTTACCTGCTCCTCTGCTCGCAGTGGAGAGAGAAGTAGGCATTGTCCTCTAATACCCACCCTTTGTTGGGAAGGGAAGGACTGTTTTTCCTTTTCTTGACTGTGAACTTCAATGAATAGAGCACGTCTGCCCCTTTCCCCATACGGATGATGAGTTGCTAAATGATTGTGGGAGTCCAGCACATCCTCTGGGCCGTGTTTATGGTTAGACAAGATCCCTGCATCTCAAAGGCAGCACCCCAGCTCCATTCTCCATCCTTCTTCCACTTTCTCCTCCCAGGTACAGCAGGCCCTTTCTGTGCTTCCTGCTCCTGGGATCTGAGCACGCTGGACAGAGGAGCTGGTGGGAGGTGCGGGTCAGTCTCAGGTGGGGCTCTGCACCAGCTCAGTTTATAATGGCATCTGCCCTCAAGGTTGTCATCTCCCTCAGATATTAACCCCACCCATCATTTCTCACCTGCCTAGTGTTCTTGCATGTCACCTCCAGGGATAGAATCCCAGGAGAGAGGAGGAGCTCTGAGCCCCCTGGCAGCCCTGTGCTCCCCTCTCACAGCCCCCACCCTCATCTCCCCTCTCCACTTCCCTGCCCCCCCCCTCCACTTCTCTCCATTCTCTCCATCCCTGGGGGATTTTTCACTGCCATTCCCTGTGGCCCACACAATTCCAGGCTCTGGGCTTTTTTCCTGCCTTCGCCTGGAACACCCCACAGCTCCCCATTTACCGCTTCCTGCTGGTCCCCCAATGCTCTGATCCAGCCTCACTTCCTCCCAGGCCAGCTTAGCTGCCCCTCCTCTGTGCTGTCCCAGTGCCCAAGCTGTCCCAGGCATGGCTGTCATCGCTGTGTTCTCTACAACCATTGACTTATTCCTCCCCTGCCCTGAGAGTTTGTGAACCTGTTGAAGAAAAGTGCCATATCCATGTGACTTTGTGTTCCCAGTGCCTGGCACATTACGTGGGAACTGACAAAGGACTGAGACACTCATCAGAGGTTAATGAATGCCCCTTTAGTACTGAGCAGACCTGTCAAATAGGAAAGGTCTGCAGGTACAAGGTGCAGACAGGGAAACCAAGGCAGAGGGCAAGTTGCTCACACAAGACTTCACTAGTAAAGGGCAGAGCTGGTGCATGTGAAGATTCCTTAGGCAGAAACATGTACTTATTTCAATTGAAAAAGAAAAAGCAAGAAAATGTCCACTCACAGGTTCTAATCCTGTGAATTTTGTTGCCCCCAACTGCAACCAGAGCCCCAGTTTGCTCCGTTCTGCACAGAGCGCGGCCCACATTCCCCCAGGGAACGTCAGCGTGTGCGTCCTGTTACTTCACCCGGGTCGCAGGCCCCGGGCAGGCAGGAGGCTCAGCGGGCGTCCAGTTCGCAGAGCTTCACATTTTAATCAAATCCCCTCCTCCCAGGCTCTCATTCCAAAGGCACGCGTTGGTCTGCACACAGGTGCTGGTGGAACGAAATGAAACTCACCCCAAAACAAAAGGGAAAAAAGCCAATCTGATGCAGAATCTATCTGCATTTCAGAAGCTGTCAGGATGAAAAATGAAGCAGCGAGTTTGGCCTTTAAAAATATTAATTTCTTACCGAGATGAACTAGAAAGTGGTGGAGAGAAAATTCCCTTATCTCCTAGGAGGAACAAATGGGACCAAATTCCGATCCTTCTCCTCGGGTCTCCTATGTCGTTTCCAAATTCAACAATTTCTTGTTCCGGGTTCATTTATGAGGTTGCTAAGCATCATGAACGTCCACAAATGTCATTGAGTTACAGACGAATCTTCATTTTTATTCTGAGCTTAGTTTATACAGTCCGATGTGCGTTGGCCACGCTGCTGGCTTAGGGGAGGATGATTAACCCAATAGATGCGGATCTAGCCAACTTCTGACGGGGCCGGGCGTTTGGGCTCAGCTAAGGGCACCAGCGCCGAATGCCTCGCTGCTGATAGACAGGAAGGACTGAGAAGACAGGGAAATTACATGCATGCCGCTAACAGTGGCCTGTCCACCTTAAAGCAACAGTTCTGTTTCAATTGAGTACCTTTTGCAGAAGTTATAAAAGGTCCTCTCCTCCCCTTCCTCTCTCCCACCCAGCCCGTCCTCCAGGGACTGCTTGTGGCCGGCCCTGAGAGACACTCGCTGCTCTGCACCTGCGAGCCTCTGTCCCCTTCCCGCCCCTCACCACTCTCCCCCTGCACTGCTGGAAACTCTCCCATTGCCCCTCTGCTCCCAGCACCATCCGTCCTCCCCTGCCTCTGGAACATTCGCCTTTTTTAAAACACTGTCCTCTGCTTGAACATCTGATGGCTCCATCTCACCTCGTGGGTCAGCTCCAAATTCTTTATAATCAGGTCCCAAACAACTGTCTGCCCTCCTGTCCTTCTCCTCCTCTGCATACTCGAGATTCCTGCCGAATAGAATGCTGTTATTCCATAAACACACCAGGCCCTTGCCTGCCCTCTGTCCTCTGTGCCTGCTGTTCCTGCAGCCTGTGTGCCCGTCCCTCCCTTGTGCACCCGGGGACCTACTCCACTGTTCCTCAGACCCAGTGCAAATGTCCCAAAGCTTCCCTGCTTCGTCAACATGGGATCAGTTGTGCCCAGCTCAGCGCTCAGCTCCGGCACGTCACCGTGCACGTGGCCTTTGTCCTACCAGATGATGGACAGATTGTCCTTGTCAGCCTGTCCACTCAAGGCCATCTCTGATACAACAGCGTGTCCCCCTTCCCCAGAGTCTAATTTTAGGCAAGTTTCGGGGACGTACAGACTTGTTGCTATCGTTTGTCTGGAAAGGATGCTGAAAAGATACTCCTATGAAGGAAATAATGAATACGTTTAGCAAAAATACTTTTTTTCCCTAAAAGCCCCATGTACAATTTTTATCAGGCCCAAAGGAAAATAATCCCTCCAGGTTCCCAATTATCTTCTCCCAAAATAACAAGCCTTTGTCCTCTGTTCATACAGACGTAGGATACGGGCTGGGAGATACCCAGGCACCTGGCGTTCTGCCTGCCTCCCTGGAGGAGCTCATGGTTTTATTAATAAACCGATCATCCATTCCCTTTCTCAGACTCAGGTTTCTGCTTCTGTGTAGCCTGTGTTTTCCTAAAGAACAGGAAGAAGTTCCATTGTTGGCCAGAAAGCAAAGCAAAGGGAACTAGGTACACAAGATTCTAACTCACGCTGTGGGTTTCATTAGCACAGGTCTTGCATCATCGTAGATGGCAATCAGGGTCTCCACTTCCCTCGGTGGCCAGAGAAGCACCTTAGAGCTAGCAAAATGCCACAGAGGGTCTTTTCTCTGGGCACACCCTGCCTTGTAAAATCCTCTAACTCTCATAGCTTATATGTGATGACATTTTCCCCAGGGGCTTGACCCTCTGTTGTCCCCACAAGATGATGCCTCAATTAACCATTAACCAAACCCTTCCTGGGTTCTGACCATGTCCCAGCACCATGCCAGGCAGCAGCATGGTAAAGCCAAGTAAAGTGCTCCCACAGCCCTCCCCGTACTCTTGACCTAACAGGGAAAGAGCCTCACTGCCTCCGTGGGCTATGAGAGAAGAAACTAGCACAGTGTATGCAATAGCTGAGAAAGACAGCTGGGGAACTCAACAGGCAGAGATAAAGCCCACCCTAGAATTCCAGAAGGTTCCCTCTTGTTCTTTTTTATGCAACCCTCTGGCCCCAACCCAGAGGCTGGCCAAATAAATGTTCAAAAGCAGAGAAGCCTCACCCTTCACCAGTGTGCAGAGACTACACTCACCAAAGAAGGCCAGAGTGGACTCTGTTGACATGCACACCTTCCACAAACGCCAGAATAGTCCTTTTCGTTTTATGTGATGACCAAAATGTTTGGAAGTAATTCCCAATGGAAATCTTCACCCAATTTCCTCCATGTATTTCTGTATCATTTTGCTACCAAGAAAGGAGCCTAAACTTTTTACCTGCAAGAGAATTAAAAGGTGGAAAATCTCTGCAGGGCAGAGAGAACTGCTTGTAGGCAAAAGCAAAATGGACAGCTGTGTGCTGGAGGAAGCTTTCACCAGCTTCTTTTTGTTCCCGTTTGCTTGGTGTTGGTCCAAGTTTTTACTCCTTTAAAAAAAAAATCTGGCAATAGATTTAATTAAAATTAAGGCAATAGATATCAATCACTGGAATCATCTGTACACTGAATGAGACTAATAATCCAAGCAAATTTGGAAGAATGGTCCTGACAGTGAGAACGCAGAGCCCGAGTGAGTACCTGTAGGTAATGGCGACCATATGCTTCACGCGGCCTGATAATCATGAATTGCAGGGTCTGCCACTCGACGTGAAGCTGGCATCACCACGAGAATCCAGAACAGACAATTTGCTACAGAGGAGGAACAGGCCTAAAGTCTGTTCTCTCCTCTTCCTTCTCTCCTGAAACTCATCCCTAAATGAGCCCCTCTCTTGCCCTCCAAAACTGCTTTTTTTTTTTTTTTACCTCCATTTCCCGTGCTCAGTTTCAACTCTGTTGCCCCAGGTGCTCCCGCTAGAAACCGCCCCCACGCTGACACCTTGTTTCCACAGCCCCTCACGTCGAATGTGCACACCAGCCACGGAGCTGGACGGTTGCCCCGTGTGATCCTGGCCCTGTGACTTCTTCTGGACTAACTAGGGGAGGTCATCTAACATTTCTGAGCGTTGGTTGTCTCATCTATAAAAGGGGATGAAGGTGACACCCGTGTCACAGGATGCAGTGAGAGTCAAATAGGAGTACCATCCAGACACCTCACGAAGCCTGACGTGTACTAAGTGATCAATAGATGTTATCTATTTTGACGATCATCGTCGTTACCCTAATTGAAAGCTAGGTCTTTTGATTCTACTTTCTAAAATTTTCTTTCATTCCTCTCCCACTCTATCTCCTGAACCATCTCATCTCACGTGGCTAGATACAGTATTAACGTGAGTATCAGACTCATCTAAGTCCCCGGTGCCAAGCACAGGCTCTGGCACTTCATCACACCAGAATAAATCCCTGTTCTGTTGAATTCAGTATTCTGGCCTTGGCCCTCTGGTTAGTTGGTGTCATTTCTGGCAACTTCCAGGACACAGGCAGTGGGAAAGCTATTGAGCACATATAATGGCCAAACATGGCATTCCCGATTTGGAAGAATTTGGAACAGACCTGAAATACGATTTGGAAATTCAAATCATATATCATTTCTCCTATAAATTTCAGTAATCATTTCTGTTTGGTTTGTTTTAAGGATTCGATGCATTTAAAGTTTAAATGTGGGAAAGTTATGCTTTTTCCCTTCTTTTATTTCCTGGTACTATGACCAATGAGGCAAAGAATCCAAACTCATTAAGTTTCGCACATAAAGAATTGAAATGTATACAGTACTTACAGGGAGTACAGGCTGAATGATGGAACTCTCTTTTTAGGCCTTGAACGTGTTGACACATTCAATATTTTTCAGCCACGGAATATAGTATGAGCATCGTCTCACACCATGAAACATTAATATTATTTTTATGACTGTGCACAATGCAGTGACACATTGCTGAGCTGCTGAGAAATTTAAAGAATAAAAAAGATTTAGACACTGAAAGAACCTTGAATCATTGAATTTGGGGAGGCAGAGAAGAAGGTTGGTGTGTGTCTGGCTACTGATTAGATGGCTTCCATGGAACGAGCTAGAGCCAAGCACTTGTTTTGTAAGTGGTTGGGATCCTCAGGTTTAGTGCCAGTGGGTGTGGCTCACCGCAGCATAGTCAGCACTTGGTGGCGGGTCAGGACTCCAACCAGTTCAGCAAACAGCAGGCCGAGGACCTGTCAGCGTAGAGATAACCATTGAACCTGTGGAAGGTAAGAAAATGACCTGGGGAAACAAACCAGCCCGCAATTGTGACACTTGTGTTCCCGCTGCCCCTTCCTGCGCCCATGATTTGACATCACAAATCAAAAGCACTCTGCCCTTTGAGTCCAGATATAACCCCAGGATCCTACTTAACACAGGGCCTGTGTACCATTGCCATAACTGATCCAGTTAGCTGTACAAACTGAAACCTACCTAACGTTCTGAAACTATATAAAATAAAATAAAAAACAAAGGCAGAAGGAAGCCTGAGTTTTGTAAATAGGGCTGCATTTTTTAAAATGTTATTAACTCTTTTCTTCTTGCCCAGCAAATTCTTTAAAGGCAAAAAGACCAGGTTTGTTTACCTGTTGTAGTCCTTTTTCCAGACAGCCCACTCATTTATCTGATAAATTATTTAGTGAAGACCAACCGCATGCCCATCACGTACATGCTACTTGGGTAGCTGCCTGCTTATCTTGGCTGTTCCCAGCACTGAGCCTTGGGACAGGGAAGCCTGGACTGTCTTGTCCCAGATTTGAGTGAATTGGGGAGACTGGGGTCCCCAGAAACCCCCTGCTCAGTCTCTAGGCACAAGGGTGTCTCCAAGCTGCACCTTGCCTGGGACACTCCCTAAGCCCTGAGCCCCTCGTGTCAGCTGTGAAATGACAGACCTGCAGGGTTGCCATGGAGATTCAGATGAGGGCCTAGCTCATGAAGAATGCTTTGGGCACAGTAGCAGATATTGTCACTATGCTGACATTGCTGCTGTTGTCATTACCCTTCTTCTCTGTGCACACTCTCAATGGGTTAGACGGGAACACCAGCTCTCCATGCTTAGAAGCTATGCTCATGACCTTGAGCTTGCCTCCAAAATCTAAAGCTCAAGATCAGCATGATTATGGACACGTTTGACTTCTCAGCTCTGAGTAGGAATGACCCTCCAGGCCCCTAGTGTTACAGTTCTCTTGGGAGCCTGTGCCTCAAAAACCCTGCTAAAAAAAAGTAGCTGTGACCCTGGGCTGAGGACCATATTCCATACTCTGTACAGGGTGGGCTGCTGATGGCTGCCGCTCTGAGCCAGACACAGGCTAAATCGTGGCCTCATCACTTACCAACTACACAGTTATGAGTTACTTCCACTCTCGCATCTTCAGTTTCCTCATCTGTGTCCCAGGGGTCACATTCACTGTCGTGGTTCCCTCTCCCCCCTTTCCCCCTCAGTGGCAGCTCCCCAAATCACTGCAAAGTCATGCCAGGCTGTGAGGAATCCTGCATAACATCTCCCCGGGGAAACAATGAGTGGGAACCTCTGATTTTGCATACAGCTTGTGGGCTCCACACAGCTCCCGAGTTCACTCCTGGGATGTCCATGAACTTGAGTTCTAAAACTCCAACCCATAGCAAGTAATTTTCAAAGAGAACAGCTTGTAAATACCCAAGGGAAATACATACCTCCACACAAAAACTTGTACATGAATATTAATAGCGTTAATAGTCCCAAAGTGGAAATAACCCAAATGCCCATCCACTGAGGAACACGTCGACAAAATGGGGTCTAGCCATACACTAGAATATTATTTGGCCATAAAAATGAATGGAGTACTGAGATGATGCCTTTCTGTCACTTTAAACTGCCCAGTCTGTGATACTTTGTTCTAGCAGCTCTGGGAAAGTAATGTAGGTGGTGACTGCTATGGGAATGGGATGTTTTGGGGGGATGATGTTATAAAATCGATTATGGTGATGGTCACACAACCCTGTAAATGTACTAAAAACCATTGAATTGTACACTTTAAATGGGTGAATTGTGTGTTATGTGAATTATATCTCAGTAAAGTTCCTAAGTAATATCCCATTGCTTGGATAGGCCACATTTTATTTTTCTATTCCATCAGTGATTGACATTTGGGACTATTTCCACCTTCTGGCTGTTGTGCTGTGCTATGAACATATGTGTACATATATTTGTTTGAGTGCCTGTTTTTAATTCGATGGGAAAGATACCTAGGAGTGGTGATTTTATTTTTAACTCTTTGAGGAATTATCATACTGGTTTCATAGCAGTTACACCATTTTATATTGTAACCCATAGTGCTGAAGGGTTCCAAAAATATCCTTGCCAGTACTTGTTATTTCCTGTTGTTGTTTCTTTTTTCATAGTAGCCATTCTAATGGGTATGAGGTGCTATCTTACTGTAGCTTTGATTTGTGTTTCTCTAATGGTTAGTGG